GGTGGAAGCTGGTCACGAGAATCAGGACAACCTCTGAGTGGGCGGAGAGGGAAGGCCAGCTGTGGTGCCTCTTGCTGTGCCCTTTGTTGGGGATACACGAGGCCCAATACCCACGTCCCTTCCTTTCCCCGATCTTAAGTTCTAGCTCAGTACTAGAACTTTTGTTTTGCTTTGGATCAGGGTTTCTCTGTGCAACCCTGGATCTCCTTCTGGGACTCATTCTAGACCAGGCCGGCCTCAACCTAGAGATCCACCTGTCTCTGAGTGTTGGCTACGACTGTGGTACTAGATTGTAACCATACTGTTAGAGTGTTTCCTGGGTGAGGAATTTGAAGTAGGTCAACTCTCAAGTCTTTCTCAACTTTGTCATCTCCTGGCTTAGCCAGAGATGAGGCCATGCTGGTGAAGCGAAATGGCTGAAGGAAACAGGATGGAGAGGTCAGTAAAGACCAATTGGCTTGATTACGTTTGGTGTGAAAGGTCCAAGGTTAGCTAAATGACAAAGTCCAGTGGCATTCTTTGTTAGGAAAGGATAACTCAGGTGTGTGTTGTGTAAAGTTTTACTCTTTTTACTTTTTGTCCTTTTTGAGGGGCCTGCTACCCAGCTCCCAAATAAATCACACATGGAGGCTTATTCTCAGTTACGAATAGCCAGCCTTAGCTTGGCTTGATTCTTGATCTAAATTATCCCATCTATCTTTTGCCTCTGGACTTTTCCTTTTCTTCTGTATATCTTACTTTCATTCTTACTCCATGGCTGGCTGGCTCCTTCCCTCTTTGCTTCCCTTCGTCCTCATTTCTCCTTCTATTTAATTATTTATACTCTGTCTGCCAGGCCCACCTAGTCTGGCTCCTGCCTCACTATTGGCTACTCAGCTCTTTATTAGACAGGCAAAAAAAATCAGTTTAACATAAACAAATGCAGCATAAACAAAAGTAACACACCATAAACTAATATTCTACCGTGTGTGTGTGTGTGTGTGTGTGTGTGTGTGTGTTGTTGTTGTTGCCATAGAAAAGCTCTTCCAATGTGATGTCACAAGTACTGATTTGCCGTGCTAATGGATCACTGTACTCTTTCAAACACAGCCTCATTGTATTATTGACAATACTGCAACCGTGTGAGATAAACATCCTTATCTTAGAGGAGACTTTAACATCATTATCTAAGTCTTTTGCTGGAAATTTTATTAGAGAAAGTATGCAACTTCAATACTAAACCATACCCAAAGTTCTCTATACTATGTTGAGGATAATGAGAAACAATATATTCCAAGGCCAAGAGAGTTTTGACTAAATTTGTCATTGTGTCCATTTTCTTTTTTGGTTTTTTTTTTTTTTTGACACAGGGTTTTGTTTTTGAAGCTATCCTAGAGCTCACTCTGTAGACCAGGCTGGCCTCGAACTCACAGAGATCCGCCTGCCTCTGCCTCCCGAGTGCTGGGATTAAAGGCGTGCGCCACCACTGCCCAGCATTGTGTCCATTTTCAAGCTAACAGGGATTTCATATTTAGCATACTGCATTATCACCATTCTTGGCAATAAGACAAAAATTGCAAACACGCTAAGAAAACCAAAGATTACAGGTGGCAGTCTACTTAAAAATTGTTTGATAAAATTATATATATATGCATATATATTTAGTTTTTATTTTTTTCGAGACAGGGCTTGTCCATATATCCCTGGCTGACTTGGAACTTCCTCTGTAAACTAGGCTGGCCTCAAACTCAGAGATCTGCCTGCCTCTGCCCCCAGAGTGCTCAGACTAAAGGCGTGTGTCACCACTGCCTGGTTTGAATAATATTATTTGATAATAAAGTTCTGCTGCAATCTTATTAGATAATCTGAATGATCTAAATGTGCCATGAAATCATCAGTCATGAATAGGGACTACAGAATGACAGTGGAGGTCAAAGAACACTAAACAAAAAGATGTACAGTGATGATTTTGTCCAAATGAACCTTTGGGCAATGACTCTTAGTCAGGTTCCCACGTGGCAAAGCTTGGCCAGGAACAGCGCTGGAAGCAGATGGGCCTGGGTGTCGGTCACAACCTCACTATTTCCACTGATACCCATGACCTTAGTGGTGTTGGAAACCCTTTGAGCTCATCTCTTCATCTATGAATGGTAAGACTATTCATTCTGACTGTTGTAAGAATCACGTGAGATGTATGAAAAACTTCTGTGCATGTGTGTGCGTGTGCGCGCATGTGTGCATGTGTGTGCACGTGTGTGCCTGCACCCATGAAAACCGGAGGACAACTTTGGGTGCCATTCCTCAGGAGCCACATATCTGTTTTGTTTGTTTCTGAAACAAGGACTTTATGGGACTCAAACTTGTCAAGTAAGTTAGGATTGGCTGGCCAGTGAGCCCCAGGGATCCCGTCCCTGCCTCTCCAGCCAGGAGAGTACCGGGGCACCACCACATCTGACTTTCTTTTCCATTAAAATGTGAGTTCTGAGAAACAAATTCAGGAGCGTGTACAGTAAGGCAGCACTCTTTCTGCCTGCCATCTCCTCAGCCCAACAGTGTGGACCTGTGTGCCTACTGGGTTCTATACCCACCTGTTTCTTTGCTTTCGAGGAAACCATTCGGATACATGGTACATTCGCTTAGGAATTCATCGTAAGCCTGTATACCACAGCCATCCCCCTTTCCTTGATGAAGGGTTCAGCAGGAGACTTCTTCAATCTTCAAGTCTGCTAGCTTCCTCTTCTAACTCACACAAAGGTGCTACGCATATCTGCAAAGACATGCTACAGAATGATCACCTTCACCATATATATATATATATGTATATATATATATATGGACCTTGTCTCTGATGGGGAAAGAGATAAAAAATATTATAATGTCCATAATTAATAATGTTCTACAGCAAACGTTGAGGACACCAGAGACATTTAATCAGACAAGTTGGGATGGGGGCAATGTCCGTGACAACAGACGATGGAGAGATCGTGGGTGATGTTCTAGCAGATGTGACATTCAATTACGTCTCTACTCAACCTGACTGAACATGTATTAAGTTCCACAGACTGTCTCAGTGCTGAATGAAACAGGCTCTCTTAAGCAGAATGCCGCAAGTCCAGTGCTCGGGAGCAGAGACAAGTACAGTGAGTCTCGGTTACTTGGCACATTCTCGGCCTTTGTGGGCTGCAAAGCAAGGCCCTGTGTTAAACAGCAGCAATAAAGCAGTTGCTTCTGTGGTTTTAGTTAGTGGAGGGAGAAAACTGAAGTGAGAGGTACGGAGAGGCGCCTTGGGAGGGTAGGTTAGGCTGCGGGACGGAGAAGTGCTGCTACTTTAGGAGGAAGAGTGGGAAGATTTCTTGGGGAGGTGTCATTTAAGCTGAGATCGGAATGGCAACTGTGGGAAGCTCAAGATGATCATAGCACAGACAGGAGCTACTGCAGAAGGCTTAAGCAAGCAATCCGTTTTGTGCTTTGGGGTCGGCAAAGATGACTGACATGGCTGAATTAGAGTAAGCTAAAGGGGTAGGTAAGAGGTAAGTACATACCAAACATGTGGGAAGCCCAGATCACGGGCCCCGTGAGCTTAGAAGGAAAGAGGCTGGATTAGGTGGTGAGAAACGGTGTGGAAGATATAAGCCAGAGCTAGATTCTGGGGCTGGAGAGATGGCTCGTTGTGTAAGAGTGCTTACTGTTCTTGCAGAGGACCACGTTCAGTTCCCAGAATCCACCATCAGGCAGCTTATAAATGCCTGTAACTTCAATTCCAGGAAATCTGACCTCTGCTGGTCTTGTCATGCACCCACACATATGTAACATACACTCACACATACATATGAATAAAAAAAGAAAATCTTTTAACAACTAAATTGTACCAAACACTATATGGAGGACAAAGGAAATGTTTAATTCTACTAAATATTATGCAAAGAATCTCAAGGAGCTATGACTAAAGTCATTAAAAGAAAACCTCTCATGCCTTTAAGGAACATACATGTGCTACATTCTTAAGCCAAAGTGCCCAACATAGAGACTCCATGACAGCTGAGGATTCTAATGTAACCCCCATTTTTACAACATTTTGAGTAGACTTACCAATATGTCATTATCTATCAGATGGAATGTTTTATCAGAGTGTATGTCACCATGACTCAGTGTTAAGAGGCAGAGCCTAATGCCTAGATGGAGAAGGATGTCACAGAGCAGAACATGGGAGAACTTTGCCTCATAATATAGAAGATGGGCATCGCTAAGCTGACTTTCTCATATCTTTCTACGCCCTCGGATGTGAATGCAAATGAGCATAGCATGAACATTTATCCTCTAACCTCTTGCAACTAGAGGCCATAATAGGACATAATATGAAATGTAGGTGTAAGTGGCTATTTGAAAAGGGAAAACAAGTCTGGAGCTCTTTGAGAGTTGGGCTTTTTCCCCAGCCAGCAGGCTGTATGTCCAAACCCACATTCAGCCAGAGATGCTAGGATGATGGTGTCTAATGTTGGACAAGTTTGAGTTGGGCCTCTTACCGCACTGTTGTAGCTGGAGATGAACTCTGACCCCAAGGTTCATCATGGCACCCAAGCCAAGTAAAGTTGGAAGTGGTTTGAAAAGTCACCATTATTGTTCCAGCAATTCTACTGAAATCTATCCAGAAAACATAAACATGTCTAGTGTATGAGTTGGAGAAAACGTTCAGTGGGAAGCATGCAGCTGTAGGGGAGAAATTCTGTCAAACCAACTCAAAAAAAAGCTACAGGGGAAATCAGCTGCCCCCTGCTGGCTGGGCATCACAGTCCGTGCACACTTGGTGGTCCCGAGTGAAAATGTGGACCAGACAATCCCGAGAACCTGATGGCAGCCAATCCTTAAGAGCCACTGAATCAAACAACACGGAGCACAAGGCTGGTATTTCTGTGTCTCTAAAACGCTCATGCACGAGGGCGTTCATTTTTAACTTCTACAGTCTTAGTTTTAAATAAAACTGATGAAATTTTTGTTTGTTTGCTTTTGTTTTCTCTGTATAGCCCTGACTGTTCTGGAACTCACTTTGTAAACCAGGCTGGCGATTAAAGGTGTGTATCACTACTGCTTGGAAATGTATTATATGGGTACAGCGCATGACCACCAGGCAGAAAGCCCTGGGTTTTATCCCCAGAACTGTGGATGAGGAGGGAGGCAGGCCCCAAAAGTCAGGCTCAGAGCATGTTCTTTTGTCTCCATGTGAGCCAAGACCTTTGGATTTCAGGTGTAGACACCAGGGACACAATGGAGCCTCTGTCCACTGCCGCTGCAACCTTTCTGGTATCCATGCTTTGTGCCCGCAACTTGTTCTTCCAAAGTACACAAAGTAAAGCAACCCTTTAATGTTTCTCTGCAAATCAAATCTTTGAATAGGCCACGTGTGATCTGTAGGGACAGAGAGTTCTGGCAGAGTATTACAAAGTTAAAGACCTGTGAGGGGGAAGCTTCATGAAGGTGATGGCATTTCATCTCCTCTCCGTGGATGGCTGTAACTCTTAAGATGAAGATGGGGCCGGGCGTCGGTGGCGCACGCCTTTAATCCCAGCACTCGGGAGGCAGAGGCAAGAGGATCTCTATGAGTTCCAGGCCAGCCTGGTCTACAAAGCAAGCTCCAGGATAGCCTCTAAAACAATACAGAGAAACCCTGTCTCAAAAAAACAAAACAAAACAAAACAACAAAAAGATGAAGATGGGGGGCTTAGGGCACTCATTGGAAGACCAGGAAGCAAGACGAATGATGAAGTCAAAGCAACAAAAAGAGCTGTGTACCAGAAATGAAGACCGGTTTAGTTCAGGAAAAGAAGGAGCTATATGGAAAGAAGTGAGAGAGAGGCAGGGCAGGTTAAGAGTGTTGGCCTTTAGCATATCTGTAAGGGTTTGGAACAGCTATTTACCCAGGTGGATAAGCCAAACAAGGGACACAAGAGTAAATAATGAGCCTTACTGGGCATGAAACATGGCCCTGGGAACCTGGCATGAACTGAGGCCACGTGTGCTAGAAATCAAGATGTGAACTTGAATTTCATTTTAAAATCAACTGCTCCAGAGGACACTAAAAGGAGCTGTGAATGAATTACAATTGTGTAAACTGAACACAGGGGAAGATAATTCACTGGGTATTTAATATATGGCAGTTTAAAAAAGAGGAAGAGAAAAAGAACTTTTGAGGTTGGATTAAAGTACAAGAGGGACACTCCGGTGGAATGTCCAGGCACGTGAAGACAACGAAGCTGATGAGACAGGTGGAGTTGAGCATGAGTCACTTACACGAGTCAGCCCGTGAGTTTAGTCTGCCGTAGGGACACACAGGAACTACCAGCGCTAGCACGCCCTGAATACAGGACCCACGCTGTGACTGGGAAAACAGAGGACTATGAAGACCTTGAGAAAACAGACCCCGCTGTGATTACTGATATGAAAAAGGCAAGTATGTTTCCTCAGCTGCTAACTTCTCAGAAACGCTTATCCCGGGTTGACCTCCTAACTGGCAGGCAGAATCAGGGTGACATTTTTTTTATTTTCATTTTTATTTTTTTAGTTTTGGTAAGGAAATCTGAGACTGGACCACACCGGCCCAGTTATTTGAGATTGTTCTAGTCTAGAACGTAGGACCCGCGAACAATACAACTAAAGCAGCCAGCCGAAAGCACCGCTCTTCTGGAGGGTGGAGAGCACACGCGTCCTAGATCCGCAGGAGGAGTGTGGCCGTGCTTGGGCAGAGGCCCCATGTGAGCAGGAGAAAGGTCATTACACGCAATCTTCCGGCCTGACGCTCGTCACGCTGCATAGCTGCCGCATGGCTCATCGCGGTGACGACCCGGGTGAGTCCCAGGGCGGGCGCCCAGCAGGGACCCGGTCACGACGCAATCGGCCTTGGGTGGAGCCCCGAGGAGGCCGCGCCCTCTGGCCTACTACATCTCCCAAAGCTCCGCGCGGGCCCCAAGACCTAGCAGCTCGGGCGCCGGGCGCAGAGTGGAGTTCTGGGAATGGGAGTCCGAATGCAGGCCCCGCCCCCACCCCGTGGACGCCGGGTGGGGAGATGTGCAGCGATTGGCCAGCGGGCGCCGCAGGCCCGCCCACGCATGGTGACGACAGGCAGCCGTCTGGCTACTTAAGGCGTCGCGGTCTGGCCCAGCCCGCCCTGGCTCCCGCGCTAGAGAGAAACATGTATCGTTTCCGCTCGCAGGTCTTCACGGGGATTTCTGCTGCTACCGCCGCCGCCGCCTCTCACCCGCGCCGCTCCTCGCCTCTCTCGTTAGCCCGAGACTCGCCGCTCAGCCGCCCGCCGCACAGACGCACGAGTAGACAGTGCAGCTCCATCGGCTGATCCTCGCTGAGAGCTCCCAGGGTAGGCGGCACCGGGCGGCCCACGATGCCGAAGAACAAGAGGCGGAACGCCCCCCACCGCGGTGGCGGGGGTGGCGGCGGCTCCGGGGCAGCGACGTCGGCGGCCACGGCAGGTGAGGGGCGTCCCCGCGCCGGCAGCCGGCGGCCCCGGCCGGATGGGAGGCCCCGGCCTGGGGCGCGGCGGGACTTGTAGTCCGGGGCTCGGCTTCGGGCGCCCGCGGCTGCCTGGCGCGTGGCGCGCCTGGACTGCAGTTCCCATCATGCCCCGGGCGCCGCGCTCGCGGGGCTGGGGCTGGGGCACCGGCCCTGGGGGCGGGCGGGCGGGCGGGGTGGGGGCGGAGAAGCGGGACCTGAGGCCGGGGGCAGAGTTGGAATGGGGTGATCAGGATCTGGCTCTCTTTTACTCGGAGCTCTTGCTTCCTGTCCGCTCTTGATGCCGGACTATAGATGGGGGGCGGGGAGCGCCGGTGGCTCGCCGTGCCGCCCGCTGCTTGCGGCTCTCCGACGCGGAGTTCCCGGGAGTGCCAAACGTCCGGTCCGGCTTTTGTGTCACGCGGCCTGGGCTTTGCGCGGCGCCGCCGGGGGGTGACGCACAGGCGCGAGTGGCTTCCACCCCGCCGCGTCCCTGCGCGTCCCGCGGGTCCGCTAGGCGGGGTGGAGGCGTCGGAAGCCCAGGGCCACCGCCCCACCCATAGCGTGGCTCCCACGCCTAACCCTGTGCCTGCGGGAACCAGGAGCCCCCCGCGGTCCTGGGCCACCAGCCCGGGCCACCGCGTTCTCCTTTGTGCTGCATTCTATAGTGTGGGTTCCATGCAGCGGTAGAGATGGTGAGACAGCCGAGGCTGCAATTGGCTGAAAGTTTTAGGGATAGTGTTGGTGTGGGTTTTTTGTTGTTTGTTTGAATCTTCCGTGTCAAGCGGAAGCTTGTCCTGGACGGATAATTTGTTGAACACATGGTTAAGAAAGAAAAAAAATGACTGCAGGCGAAGGTCCCTTCTCCAAGACGGCACACAAAACACTGTTAAACTGGGTAGTCATCTCATTTAAGATTATGGAGTTCAACATTGTAATACCCGCAGACGTTTCACACCAAGGAAATAGCCACTAGGTGTTTGACATAGCTAGGTTTTGATCATTCGAATGCTAGGCCTTTGTTCATTGGAAAAGTAGATGAACAGTTTTCTTGTTAAATGTTAGAAACTGGCATCGCAAAAACAAAAAAGAAGCAAACAAAAAAAAAACCGTGTTCCTACAGGGCTTGGAGAAGACTGAACGCTCTTGATCATGCACTAAACGATGATTGAGAATAGGTTATTACAAATACAGATTTTTCGCATCGTGAAATTCATGTGAAGTTATGAGACACTGTTCATTTAATCTAGATGAGGTTGAGTCAAGGATACTGCTTACCACTGGTTAAGCTTTCCCTCCTGAATAAATACTTGAGCGCTTTCTGGAAGAGTCTCACTAGTTTTGTTCATTTACCTTTTAAGAGGTAAAATAATGGAGAAGACACTGACATTTTGGAAACGGGTGGTGTTAGAAGTGGCCTCCGCCTCACTGGATCCGCCTCACTGGATCCGTCCTGTCCTTCTCTAGTTCCTGCCAAGCATTCTTCCATTCTTAGGACACATTTTCCTAGGGCTTGCCTGGCCTGTCATCAGACTGGTCATCACAGCTGTCTTTTAAATTCTCCTTAGTGGAAAAGATAACATTTAAACACTACATTCTAGCCTATGTAGTACAAGCACTGAGCTTTGTTTTTTTCCTTAGCATCTATAAACAAATGGAAAGTAATTGATTTGTTGGTAACAACTGTAATGTTTGACATCGTTACCATAAAAGTGGAACTGGACGAAATATACTTGTCTGTAATTTTTTACCTTAGTCACGTGTATATTTTACTTAGTAAATGGATGAGCCAGATAACGGGAATTATCAAAAATTTTACTTACCCCAATTTTCCTAGCCGGGTGATGGTGACAGAGGCAGAGGCAGGCGGATCTCTGAGTTCGAGGCCAGCCTGGTCTACAGAGCGAGTTCCAATACAGCCTCCAAAACAATACAGAGAAATCCTGTCTTGAAAAACCAAAAAAGAAAAAGAAAAAAACCCAATTTTCCTTTTGAGGTTTGGATGACAGAACAAGTGCAATTTAAATGAATCTCCCATACAACCAAGGTGATAGCCAACTTTTCAGCTGGTTAGGTTCGTAGGTTTGTACGTTCTCCTTTGTAAGTAAACGGGGAGTGCTGGGAAACCGAGAAAATTCACCTTAGACACTTGTATTTACACAGTAAGCACTTGTTCTGATTTGACAGTCTGACTGTAGCCTGACCTGGGATTCAATGTAGTCCTAGCTGGTCTTCTCTTGACTTGGCCTTCAGATACAGGGATTGCAGATGTAAAGCCACAAAGTTTAGTATGAAAGACAGGGGTTTTAAGAAAAAATGAAGTTGGGGGGCCTGGGCCTGGTTGTGCACACCTTTACTCCCAGCACTCCAGGAGACAGACAGGAGGATCTCTGAGTTCAAGGCTGGCCTGGTCTACAGAGTGGAGTTCCAGGACAGGCTCCAAAAGCTACAGAGAAATCCTGTAAAAACCAAACCAAACAAACAGACAAAAAACAGAAAAAGAAAAAACAAAGTTTAAGAAATGAGACGTCAAATGTCTAGCATATTAGCTAATTATTGATACCTGGATTACAATATTACAAGGTAAGTTTGACCTGGATGTTCGGCATTCTTACAAGATGCGTCAACTTACTGTAGAAAAAGCATTTATTTGCATGTATATGAGCACACCAAGATGCCAAATGTAGGGTCAGAGGACACATTTGTGTGTGGGTTGCAGGGAGCCATGAGCTCAGGCAGACAGGCTTGGCTTAACAGAAACATCTTGCTAGCCTTTCTGCTTTCAAACCCCTTTCTCCAGTCATGAAGAAACTAGTTAGGAGCCCTCATAAAAACAGGCCAAATACAGTTTTAAAATGGCATTGGCTTGTATGTAAATATGGTAAGATTATCCAGAATAAACTCAG